CAACGAAAAAAAGTAACTGCTGAAGAGAAAAGAGTCATGCTGACTTCAGTGCATCGTCGCAGGGCTTAATTTCAATCTTCAATTATAGCGACAACTGCAGCTGGCGAGCGCGCACCTTTGCTGTGTTTTGCAGACTTTTGGTAATCGCTGTCTGACGCTCCTCCGCTGACGCAGTGGGACAGACTGCAGACTTGAAAGCGAAATCCCATTGTTGCCAGTGAAGCAATTTTGCGAGGCTTGCGTTTACCATGGCTTGAAACGGAGAAGATTAGCCGCGGGAAAGCTAGCGCCATTTCTCGCTCCTTTCCGGCTTCTTTTTTCCCCTCCCTCCGCCAAACACATTTCCCAGAGCCATTAAACCCACAGCATAGGCCTGATTGTGAAGGACAAGATGGTGTGATACCCCCTCTGATTCACAGGCCCCCCACACCCCCTATAGCTCCCATCAAGCAATTGATCTATTGTGAGTATTAGATGCTTCAAACCAGCCACTTTGATAATCACACAGTTATAAAACCATCTCTTTATAAATTCAGGTTGTTAGTAGTTGAACAGTTAGCGGTTATTGCCCGCCAAGCCCAGATAAGCCTAGATGAGGACGCTAATAGGTTGTTGAACTTGCTGTTTTGACCTGTTAGTTGTAACATTTGTGAGCCAGAATAGGGGGCCATCACTAGCGGTAATGAGCCTTGGTGACCTGCAGGGCATATACTTCGATGCCGCGCCCCGTGAAGCCCTCCTGCCTAGGGCTACGCACAAATGAAATCAATGGGAAACGGACAGTCTGGGTTGGGGGTACTGGTTGGGGTGGTATGTGTGGGAGGCATAAAGAGAGGATGTTGTCCAATTATTTTTCTCAGTCATTGTTCATTAGCGCTGGCCCATAGGTAACCGTGCCAACACACACTGCATGCGCTTCAGTCACTGTGCACTGAAGGCTTTAAATAACAATGATATTCAGTCTCACCACGCTTGTCGAACATGGCCATGTCTGATGAGCTGTTTGATGTTTTGCTGGCCATAAATAGTCAATGACTCACTGATTCACTGATTGACTAACTTACTGACTGACCGACTCACTCACTGACTGAGTAAATGATTCAGTGATTACAGACTGATTCAGTCACTGATTTAGTGACATGATTTACAAATTCACTAACTGACTGACTGATTCACTGCCATGCTGATTCACTGATTAATTATTTCACTGACTGACTGACTGAGTCACTAACACCTTGATTCATTTAGTAACTCACTTTATTTATTGACACCCTGATTCACTAACTCACTAAATTCCTAACTGACACTGATTCATTGACACCCTGATTCACTGACCAACTTACTAGTTTCCATGACAGACTGATTGAGTCTTTGATTCACTGACTAACTCAGTAATTCACAGACTGACTGATTCACTGACACCCTGCATCACTGACTAAATCACTATATCACTGACTGACTGACTGATTGACTGACGCTTTGATTGATTTAGTAACTCACTTATTCACTGACTGATTCACTGACACCCTGACTCACTAACTCACTAATTCACAGACTGACTGATTCACTGACACCTTCATTCATTTAGTAACTCGCTCATTCACTGACTGACAAATTGACTGACTTACTGACTGATTCATGACACTTTGATTCATTGACTAACTCACTAATTCACTGCCTGACTGATTCACTGACACCTTGATTCACTTAGTAAATCACCAATTCACTGATTGACTGACTGACCTGTTTACTGACTGACTGGCTCTTGAGACGTGTTTCAAAGTAAAGGCTGCAGCCGAGGTAGGAGAGAATTTGCTAGCACTGGTATACAAAGGCTCCTTTTTTCATTGTTCACTCGAGCACGTTTGAGATAGCTATGCTGTGCCAGCATGTCATGGCTTACTGACATAAGCAATGCTACATGTTTAAGTCTTCTGTTTAAATTTACATTCCATTACAAACTCTGGAGCTGTAGCATCTCACCAACTCGCAGCTGTTTCTTTCTCATTCTCAGCCACAACTGAGGGATCCTACAAAAGGCTGGGTTGCCTTAGGTGATGAAATTAGGGATGCATTGATACTGATAATGGTATTGGGCCTTAGGCCCATTTTCTGTCTAAAAAAGTTTTCTTACTTTTTCTTTGCTTTTTGTTTGCACAATGATGGGCAGTAGCTTCATAAGTTTAATGCTTTTTATCATTTTTACTTGGATATAAACACTTTTTTCCATAACAGTCCTTTCCTGCCAGCACGAAACTTGAAAAGGGAAGTGACGTGATAAGTCAAAGCAGTCACATTACAAAATGAACCAATCACGCCACCCCACACATGACTCTGGCGAGCGGATAGCTTCCACATGTATAGCAGATGGCACCACAGTTTGCCAGAAGCACCCCAGATCACCGATTTCAGAAGGACCAGAGATCAGTTCTCTGGACCACTCCTGGGCTCGAAAACCGCTTTCACAGAACAAGCGGTTCTGGGTCTGGAAAAAAGCTGTAGTGTGAAAACACCCTTAGTGTGAACAAGGTCTCACTGACTGATTGACTGACTGATTCCATGCACGTCATTTTGATGAAAGCTCACTGCTTTTTGATGAAGGACCACTGCTTCCCACAAATCACTTAAACATAAATACCTAGTTTCTGAGGTTAGTCACATTCAAGAATGACAGTTTTCCTACCATTAGCTAGCTTTGCAGTAGCAGTATTCCCCCCAGGCTGTGTTTGCAGTCCGGCTAAGCTAGGCTCGCCTGGTCTTGTTGTCATTCATGATTACAGTGATGGAAACAGGTTCCCACTGAAAATGAATCTTCTGTCTCGTGGGGGCTAATAATAAATTAAAATAATGAATATTAAATAAATTAGCGAGCCGTTTTCTGAGTTGGAGATGTAGCCGGAGCTTGTTTATGATGCAGATAGGGCTTAATAGGATGCAGAAGCAGACCCTTTGGGTGACCTTGCTGATGTAACCCAGCGGTCACAGAGTGTAATGGAGGCTAATAGGAAAAGTGTGGACTTCCGGTACAGTCCACCTGACTCCATCTGACTCTATTAGCCTGTATTGATCTGTTTCAAATGCCTGTAGTCTAGTTCATCTCCACATGCTGATTCCCCAGAGGCAGTTGCTGTTTCAGAATCATATTTGAATTCCTTCCGAGGCCCATGGTGCTGCCCGTGTGCTGCCCGTGTGCTGCCATTTAGTTTGCGTTTTGTTTGGACAAAAAGGTAAATGTACTTGCCGGCACATAAAAGCTACCGCTTAGCAATTAGCCTGCGTTCTCCAACATGCTGTGAACCGCAGAGTGTGTCGTGTGTTCTTGGAGCTTTGGAATTTGAGGCACGTTTCTGCTGCCAGTGGTACACAGCAGCAGGTAATGAGCTATGATTAAAGTGTGACTAATTTCAGACGTTTTCTCGCTCAGCATTCACGCGGCTGCACTCGGAATATAATGGAGCTTCTCTAAGAGCCCCACGCTCAGATTCATTTCATTAACATAGCTGGAGTTCTTCTACACTGAGAAAAGGGAGGGGGTGTTAGATCAGCTTCAGAATAGTTTTCTTCTTTGGTTTTAGATCTAAACACAGCAGAACCCCAGAGTTGAATTAACACATAGGGTTCATTTGCATCCAATTGGACGTGAACTCTGCAGGTGTTAATTCAGCACTAGTGGATGGTGAACGATTTGAATTCGCCGAGTTAGGAGAATCGCTCTGATTAATCATCAGTGAAATCATTTAAATGCCCAAGACATAGATGGACAACACGTAAGAAAACACCTAAAATATGACTTAAAATAAGCCTTAAATCTTCAGTTATAGCATTGCCTTTTTCTTTTTCTGCAGACCAAACACTAAATAAAAATTACAGATCTGTAATAACATTTCTTTTCGTTATAATCATCATGTGCATTGTATTTAAACTCTGCATGCATTGTAATACTTCCCCTATGTTAAGTTTTGGTTGGAAACAAAGGGGTTCAATTCTTGATGCGCGCAAAAAGTTGTCAAATAAAAATTCAGCCAAGTAATTGCTTAGGCCTTCAGGAGCTGAACCGAAGGCCTAACAAATCAGATTGACCAATTACATAATCCGTGTCTGACAGTGGACTCAAGCAATCATGGTGTGTTTTATAATGGGGGGGTCCAATTTTGTGAGAATAAACAACACTCTAGTCCATCTGGAAGTCCTTAATACGTCACTGACTGTGAATATGAGTGGTAGCCTAAGCATTAGTTTCAGACAGGTGTTAGAAATGGAAAACAGTGGCAGCTTTATGTCAGAGCTTTTTACTGACTCGCTGCAAAATTTCTATAAGGTAAAATATCTGTTAATATTGTATGTTTTAAGCCTCAAATACAACATTGAATGTCTTTTATAAGTTTCAAAAGTCCAAAAAAATCATGTAAGACGCTGTTAGCTTGGCATTAACATACTAATAGAACCCCATTCGGGTGCTAGCATAAATTATAGCATGAAAGCATAAAAAGGTGTTTATTTCTGAGTTTTTTGACCGAGTCTTGACATTTATGGCCTGAAGTGAAGCTTTAGCTTTAATATTCATGGTTCGCCACTGGTTTACAATGTACAAAAACACCTAAAATACAATCCCTCATTTTGCTTTAGTTATAGACAATTTGCATTCTTTTTTTTTTGGCTTCTTTTTGTTTTCATAATCGCTGTATGAAGGTTACTGTTTTTGAAGATACATCAGTTTGCTTTGTACTCTAGGTGTATATGTTGAAACTGTATCGGCTACTTTCCCAGACTCAAATTAAGCCCAAAGCTAGAGCAGTGGTCACCCACCCAGTTCCTGAAGGAACAAAGTTTAGTTCCAGTTCTAATTGGCGACACCTGCTCCAAACAGTTAGACAGCCAGCAAAGGCGTTAGCAGTTTAGTTGAAGGCTGGGCTTCATCCATGTCTGAGAAACTGGTCCTAAGTGTGCTAACTCTTTGCCTGCCCTGGCATGCTCTCATGTTCCTGTTCCATTGTCCTCAGGCCCGTGGGGGAGGTGTATGGGCAGTGAGTGCGGCCCTGGAGGCAGCCAGAGCCGAGCAGTTTGGTGTGCCCACGTGGAGGGCTGGACCACGCTTCCCACCAACTGCCTCCAGTCAGCGCGGCCCGCCAACCAGCAGAGCTGCTTCCGCGTGTGTGACTGGCACAGGGAGCTTTATGACTGGCGGCTGGGTGACTGGAACCGCTGCGCTCCCGTCGTACCTCGTGGTGGTGGGGTAGTTCGCTCAGGCCCCTGCCCAAGAGGCGAGGAGGGCATCCAGACGCGAGAGGTGAGCTGTGTGCTGAAGGCTGACGGTTCGCCTGCTGATGATGCCATCTGCGAGTACTTCGAGCCCCGGCCTCGGCTGGAGCAGGCCTGTCTGATCCCGTGCCCAAGGGACTGCATAGTGTCCCGCTTCAGCCCCTGGACAGCCTGCTCCAAGACGTGTGGCCTGGGCCTGCAAAACCGCGTTCGATCCGTCCTGGCGCCTCCGCTCTTCGGCGGCCAGGCTTGCCCCAACCTGACCGAGTTCCGCACATGCGCGCCCAGGCCTTGCGAGGGCCGCGAGATGCTCTTCAACCTGCGTGTGGGTGGCTGGGGAGATTGTGGACTCCCACCGTCCATCCCTGAGGCCTCTGAGGCCCCGAGCCTTCCTCCGGCGCAGCGAGTAGCCCGCCAGGCTCGCCGCAGGAAAAGCAAGGAGCGCAAGGGGGCCAAAGATCCAGAGACACGCGAGCTGATCAAGAGCAAGAGGAACCGCAACAGGCTGAACCGGCAGGAGAGCAACCTGTGGAGCATCGAAGTGGGATACCGGGCGAGGCAGGTAGTCTGCGTCCATCGCAACGGGAGCACAGTGCCCCTTAGGTAAGTAGCATTCAATTGTTCAGTTTGTAGCGCTGCCCTTTTCTTCTCATTTACCACGAACGTCCAGAAATGACCTTTGGAAATGTACAAAAATAAGAATGGGTCTGAATCGGTCCATCACATCTTGTGAAAATTGTAATTTTCTGCTTCAAAAGAGGTCTCTGAAGACCATAACTTACCCTAGGAAGTTTCAGTTATCACCATGGCCAGATTAAGCAATTTTGTGGCTCCAGGCTATGAAAATTTGAGCACCCCCCACTTAGATGAACATTTTATATGTCATATAAAAATTATGACGGCTTAACAGGCTTGCCAACTTTGTTGAGGTGACTGGAGTGAGATTTTCTGGTGGCTGGAGGGCGACTGGAGTGAAATTATCAATTTTGCATACGATTTGTACCACAGCTCATAATCATTAGCATGTGGATTCATGGTTTTCAAATCGGCTCTCACACCGCTCACACGAGAGAAAACTTACTTAGTGTCCATTCTCTGCTCCCTATTCCTCATACATAACAGAAGCGTTGCGTAAAAGAAGAGCATTAAACAGTGTTCATGCTATCGTGGTAACAAATTTTGGCACACATCCCTGCTGTTCACTCTTAATTGAACTGTTGTATGCCACCCAGGCATGGTGTTCAGCAGCAGTAGTTAAAATTTATTGAGCTTTGACCCCTGCTGTGCTGACCCTCAGCATGCAGCTGGTGAGGCTAGGATATTTTTTACCTCCTGTTGCTGAACAATATTAAAAAATTAGTAGTCTGTGTCTGAGTTTTTCTTGAATCATGAAATAATCAGTTGTTTTGGATGTTTGTTTAAATCTCTCTGGAGTAGTTCAGTCTTGCCACTGCTTGGATCGAGAGTTTTGGCAACCCTAAACAATGAGAAATACAGCATAATACTATGAATTTGTTGTTTAATAGCACGGCACCTTCCACTCTTCATCTACACCTCCATTTTGTGAGATGACAGGAATATGGGTGAAGTAATTGAACAAGAAGTTAGCATGTTAAAGATTCAAACTTGTTTTTTTAACCTGTTAATGTGAGGCCCCCTGCATTCACGAAGCCCTAGGCTGGAGCTAATTTGTCCGTAGCAACCATATTAATGACCATCTCCTACTGCACCTCAATGGGGGAGATGGTGGAGAATTAAAAGAAAAGTGATTCCCAGGTCTAAAAAAACAGCAATAATGATTCATGTGTTGTTCCTATTAGTTACCAATTTAAAGTCTTTAACATCACAGTGGACACGCCAGGAAGCATACAGGAAACTAGAGTATCACACAACACTCATCACACAAACTGGGAGATTGAAGGTCAGGCCCAACACCAGAACTAAATCATGAGTGGGGTCTGAAAACCTTAGAGGAGCTGGGGTTTGGTGGGGGGGGTCAAAAACCCAAGGAGCCACATATTAGTCAGAAGAGAATCAACCAGAGAGCCACATTTACCGCAAACCACCAAACGTCTAACCAATACAGAATGATGCATGCAAACTCCACTATGTCAGTCTACATAGTCTTTTATATCAGCACACAGCAAGCAGTGGCAGCGCAACAAAGTTTAGTTTCTCTTTGGTTGTTTTTTGCCACGTGCTGTATGTATAAAAGTTAGTGGGTTTAATGAGGCGAGAGAATTGGCTAGTAGGGCACTGTACCTCTAAAGGACCCCCTGAATCCAGGCCTGGGGAAGGCTAGTGCACAAAGCACCACCACATCTTTTGAAACTGCCACAAACGCAGCATCACTGGACAGCTGAACATGCTTGGAGGAAAACACTAACTGCCAATTGTGTTATGTCAGCTGACAGACACCCACATTGGCTAGCAACACAGTGAGAGATGAGGGCCACCCTGTCCACCTAGAGAGAGTGAGGCCAACTACGCTTTCTTACACTCCCAGCCACAAATTGCCTGGTGGCAGAGCCTGTGCTTAGACCAGGTTTGTCCAGTCTTATCCACAAAGGGCCAGAGGGGCTGCAGGTTTTTTTTAGTCCAACAAAGCAAGAGCTCAGTGGCTCACTGGCCCTTTGCGGATAAGATTGGACAGCCCTGGCCTAGACGGTTTCACCACTTGGGAGTCAATCCATATCACATCTAAGTTTGTAGAGGGGGGATATTTAATTATGATTCGATATACATTTGATAAAAACAGTTTTTTTTTGCTAAAAGAAAAAATGTCTTTGACATTTTCGCTTTTTGTTTTTGCCATTTTGCCAAGTCAGAACATACAGGAGAAGTTGGAAGTGCAGATTTAAACCTCTTAATGTAGAATATGAATCGAAGGCAAATGTAATTTGTTATGTCACTGTGATTATGTAATCGTGTCATTTCATGAAGCAGTTATGTGAGTTAAACTGAACATACAATATATGGCCAAAATTATGTGGACCTGCCATCACACCTATATGAGCTTGTTGGACATCCTATCCTGAAAAGTGGGCATTAATATGGAGTTGGATGCATGTAATTGTCTAAAATGTCCCGATATGCTGTATCATTAACAATACCCTTCATTGGCACAAAGGGGCCGAGCCTTGAAAAAGATTCTCCACCAAACTTTAGTGTTGGCACTATGCATTCCAGTAGGTAGTGTTCTCCTGCCATACATCAAACCTAGAATCGTCCATCACACTGCCAGATAGTGAAGTGTGATTCATCACTCCAGAGGACATATTGCCGCTGCTCGAAAGTCCGGTGGTGGTGTGTTTTGCACTACTCAAGCTGTTGCTTGTCATTGCATGTAGTTATCTTAGGCTTGTGTGCAGCTGCTCAGTCATGGAAACCCATTTCATGAAGCTCCCAATGCACAGTTCTTGGGCTGATGTTGCTTCCAGAGGCAGTTTGGAACTCTGTAGTGAGTGGTCCAACAAAAGAGGTGGTTTTTACGCTCTACACACTTCAGCTTTTGGCGGCCCCACTCTCTGAGTTTTTTGCATGGGCTAATGCTTCTACGAGCTGCTGCTGCTCCTAGACGCTTCCATTTCATGATAATAGTTTACCAGGGCAGATCTGGCAGGCCTGCTCTGTTGTGGCTTCACAGCAGAATTAGATTTTTAGGCAATAATAAAATAATTCTCCTTTGGAATTTGCATGTTCTTCCTGTGTCTGCGTAGGATTCCTCCGGGTGCTCCCGACTCCTCCAGGTGCTCCGGTTTCCTCCCACAGTCCAAAGACTGTGTGTTTGTGTGTGTGTGTGTGTGTGTGTGTGTGAGTGAGTGTGTGTGTGTGTGGTCTTAAACAATGGAAATAATGTATAACTGCTAATTTACCCACCTTTAACACTGAAGGTTGGTGTGCAGATTGCTGGTCACAGCAACGCAGACTACAGTCTCTCCTAGCTAGCAGCTAATGAAAAGGCAAAGAAAAAATGTTTAAACGAACTTTGATCATTTGGAGACAAATGGATTTATTTCCATTTATATCCACTCCAGCTGGTTTCCTGATACGTTTATTGTGCAACAAGAAACTGTCAACACCTAAAAATTCACAAAGCTTCTCATTCGCCAGCTTTTTCTTCAAATTTTCCTGTTCCACCTTAAATGGTACAGTGGTTGCATTCTGGCACCTCAGGCACCATTTAAGGTGGAACAGGAACATTCGAACAAGAAGCTGGTGAGTGAGATTCTGAATTCAGCCTCATAAAAAGTCAAACATTGAGAGACATTTTACAAGAAGCTCTACTTTTGTGGAAAAGTTTCCTGTCAGAGATGCGAGAAAAGTGGCTATAGCAGTTACAGCAGCTCGGCTCCGCTGCAGCTATTCGTCCGAGCGCTCTTTCGCGGCACTCTGTCAGGGGGCTGACAGTCAGAGGGCCATTGTTCTGTGCTCTCTCTCTCTCTCTTCCAAGCTGTCAAAGCAGTGGAGCTACTCCCCCTTTCTGATGTCTATTTTCCACCACAGCGGTGACAACTCTATATCCACCCGACTCCCGACTTCCTGACATGGATGGAATCTGGGCCAACGCTGTTTAAAAAAAAATAAAATGACAAAGTCCTCAGTCTCACAGCAGTCATTAGAAAGAGCCGAGACCGAATAGAAGGCCTTTTATCTTCTCTGGAGTGCTTGGATTGAGCTGTGTATACAAGGTACTGGCAGAGTGAAAAAGGTCTAGTCAATAAAGGACTGAAAGCATTCGCAACTTCAGTGAACCCATGTCATCAGGATATTAACTTTCACAAAACCAGGACTGTGTTTTTTTCCCCCAGGTAGTGTTTCACAGGTGCCCTAGTTGTAAAAACCTTTGTGTCGTGGCAGGATGTGACAGCTGGTCTGTCTGACTTCTTTGAAATAGTTTGGCTTTTGGAAGAATTTGTTCACATCAGTCCATCACAAGCTGAGAAATCGATTATTTCCTTTCTCAGAAAAGACCACTGAATACCATGGCTTGAACCACTTCACGTCAAATTTAGACAGTTTTTCCGTGCCCTAAATGCAGTCGATCAGCAAAGTTGTTTGGTGTTTGATGATTACTTCTTTAGTTGTGCACTGGTGCTGCAAGGCAAATGTAGCTAACAAGCAATGGAGGTCACCAGTTTAGCCTAGTGCAAACTGCACAAGTTGTTCTAAAAACCCAATTCCAAAATAGCTAAAATGCAGATAAAAACAGAAAGCAGTGATTTGTAAATGTGCTCTAGCTGTAGCTGATGTTTTACCTTATCAACTTCATTGTTTTTTTTTTCGTAAATACACTCTCATTTTGAAAGTAATGCCTACAACATTCCAAGAAACCTGAAACAGGAGCACTTTAAGCAAGAAAGTTGAAACAGGAGCACTTTAAGACAAGAAAGTTGAAACAGGGGCGATTTAGGGATATCTTAAATAGGTGATGCAATCATGCTTGGATATAGAACATTTTATGTCCATTTTACTATCTTGGCTATAAATATGTCTCAGTATGTGCTTATGTACTAGTATACGCTAAAAATATAATATAAACGAAAAGCTCAGCAATAGCTGCTTTTTTCGCATCTCCGGCAGGATGCTTTTCCTCAAAAGTA